ACTTTCATAATGTACGAAATTTAATCAATCAAAGAAATTGGGTAAAACCTCTTTGTGTATTATCAAACTTCAGACTTCGGATATTACCTGTATTTGGCAAAGGAAGTCACGGATTAACTCTTTAATCCATATACATGCATTTACATTCATGTTACGCATTCATTCATTATAACACACATACATACACCAGGTCAAAATATAGGTCCCCAAAGAGCTTACAACACCCGACTTCGAGCAAGGAACATGGAAGATGAAGAGCGTGCTTACCGTGATGCTCGTTTCCAAGAAGAGTTGGATTCCTTAAAAGATAGTGTGGCTTGCCTCACCGACTTACTCGAGCAAGTACTAAAAAACACCTCGGGTGAAGGTCCTTCAACTAGGCCTGCCCCTCTCCCAGCAAACCAACCTGAAGAAATAATAGGAGAACATGCATAAGAGCCCCGACATAATCCAACATTTGTGCAATCAACAACACCAATACCAACACTTGCAGTCGCAGATGCATTCGTTAATGAGTCCCACAAAACCAAGCCATCCGAGGACATTGATCGAGACAAAATGGTAGCATTAGAGGCTAGAATTAAGGCCATTGAGGGAGTAGACTTATATGATCCTATACAAGCTGTAGAAATGTGTCTAGTCCCTAATGTGGTGGTACTAAAGAAATTTTGAGTTCCTAAGTTTATCAAATACACCGGCACTCAATGCCCAGTTACCCATCTCAAATCCTATTGTAATAAAATGGCAAAAGTAGTTCACGATGAAAAGCTACTAATGCATTTCTTCCAAGATAGCTTGAGTGGAGAAGCGTTAAGTTGGTATATGAGGTTAGATAATACCAAGATCCATACATGGAAGGACCTCGTAGATGTTTTCATCAAGTAATACAAATACAACATGGATATTGCTCCTGATAGAACTAGTCTGTCTAACTTGGAGAAAGGAGATAAAGAAAGCATAAGAGAATATGCTCAAAGATGGAGAGATTTGGCAGCACAAGTCCACCCCCCTCTCCTGGAAAAGGAAATGGTTACTCTGTTTGCTAACACGCTAAAAGCACCATACTATGAACACGTGATGGGTAGTTGATTAGTACTTAAAAGTGCATTTTTATCATGGTTTTATATCATCATTTTGCACTTGAAGTATCAATAACTCCTTAACTAAAATATGTTTTACAATAATGTATCTAATAATATAAGATACCTATAATTTATGGTAAATATCTATTTTTAATGCAGGCCTATCACATAAATGAAAGGATTGATTGATGACTTGAAGAACTTAAATTGCAAGGATAAAGAGATGGCCAAACTTAGAAAAGAGATGTCGGTGCAATCCAAACCGGAACACTGTTCGGTAAATGGGTCATATCTGGAGCTATATATCTCAGATTTAGGTCAAATTTATATGGATGGAAAGGTAAGACATAGGCCTACAACTTTCATATGGAGCCCAAGATCTAAAAAGGCCATTATCAAGTCCAAATTGTAGCAACAACAAAGAAGCCCGAATCTGTCTTCCAGCCCGAGCACTGTTCGGTATTTTGGCCATATCTGGAGTTCTAGAAGTCCAAATGAGCTGAAGTTTTTACACAAGAAAGCTGAGACAATTGCCTACAACTTTCATGTTTGCAACTGGCTCCAGTTTTGACGTTATCAATGACGTTTTGGGCAGACAAGAGAAGATAAGGATTGTCACCAAGTCAAAAGTTGGTCACCCACTTATCAATTAGTCATCAAATCAATAGTTCCCATTTTTGGCCTATAAAAGGAGGCATTTGCCATGCATTTAGGCATCTTGATTTCCAGATCAAGATCATGCTCTTCCTTTCTCTCTTTGTATTTTTTATGCTTTGTTTTCATTAATATTAAGTTTATGCCTTTCATTTCCTTTCCTTTACTTAGTTAACTTTTATGTTCTTATTTTGTTTATCTATTTTGCTTTCTTTCATTATGTCTAGCTAAGTTAATTATGTCAAGGTGAAAAGGTTACACTAATGGTGTAAGAATAAGTATAATGTAAACTTAATATGGACTTTAATGTTTGATACTAACATGTTTTATATTTGTTATCTTGTTCACTCTTTAATACTTTGCTTGTTAAATGACTAATCTTGATTTATGTTGTATAACACTTGGTACAACAAATGCTTGGCACTTTCATAGCCCATAATGTATGGTATAACCGACACCTGAGCTATGAAAGGAACTTGATTTATTGTTAACATAAGTTATAATCATGAATGCTTGACGAGATTTACAAGTATTAGCATTAATTGAATAAGATGACTAATGTAATCATGTTAACAATATATAATCTGATTGGAACCTCCTTTGTGTGTGGTTTCCAATTCAATAATAAGAGTTTATACTATACTTGTTTGATATACCATTAGTGGAACCTCTAACCTTGACATTTGTTATTATCATTGTTTAATCGTTACATTAATATTCCATCTCAAAGTTCTCATCTTCTTCTTCTTCTTCTCCTTCTTTTTCTTTATTATTATTATTATTATTATTATTATTATTATTATTATTAGTACTACTACTACTACTACTACTACTACTACTACTACTACTACTACTACTACTACTACTACTACTACTACTACTACTACTACTACTACTACTACTACTACTACTACTACTACTACTACTACTACTACTACTACTACTACTACTACTACTA